AATGACCCAACTAACGTTGCATAAGTTCGTGATGGATTGTTCAATGAGGATCTTCACATTCGATAAGATGATTTTGCAATTGTTATCCCATGATACGAGGTTTCAAGCCTCATTACACACAAGACCAATATGACCAAAAATCCATATTAATTTATCACATTTAGTTTTCCTTTGAATTTTTACAATAATTTTTTTAATTGACGGTATAGAATCGTATTGTGACCATTTGCTGACGCTTTCAAGAGCTGTTTGAAATCTGTGAAGATATCGTATGTATCTTTGACTGAATAAATAAATTAAATCACATGACAAGAAGATAAATCTGTTCGGCAATCTTGCAGTGAAAATATAATTTTCCAAATGAGACATACATGTCATCAGAGAAGTTAAAACTGCTGGTCGGCCCCTTACGCAAAAGTACGGTTTTCGAACAAACTAGTATCGCGCGGTAGTCCCGAATTATCTCGAGTTGATGAAAATTTCACGTTACGCTGATGCCGAAATAGTATAATTGCTATTATCTTAAATGGTTAATAAGGTGGGGAATGCGTTCGGAAGTCGGAGTTATTCGCGGCCGCTGGCATCATGGAGTATCGAGGATTTGGGGTTATTGGCGGAACCGGCGGAATTATAATTGCTCGGCGGATCTTCGAGCCGAGTGTATGCAGAGACAGAATACCATGTTTCGGTAGTGAAATTCAGCTTCAATGGCGTCCGTTGCGCCGCAGCTTTGATAGAGTACGTACTTAGCAAGCTTTGTTCCTCCGTGAGCGAGTCGGAACCGCAGATGCACCTAGCCTACTAGGGAATCGCTCGACAAACCGGGTCAGGAGAGAATGATAAAGTTTATTCTGAATGCTGGGGATGCGGGCCGCATTGTTCCCGTCGGAGATTTCGGAAACGCCGCATTATTTGCTCGTTTCAGAGTGTACGGAAGAAATACGGGAAGGCGCGAGTTGTCTGGCCCATCTCCGCACCTCTCTGTTTCACTTCGGACATCGCCGTTTACGGAAATAAAAGATCCTAAGCGTGCGCGCGTGGCCATCTGTCCTATCACCGACTATTTTTCTTTTCAAAGTGTCATCCGATAAATAAATAAACGTGCGCATCGTGTGTAACTAGTACGCTCTCCATTAGTTTCATGTGTCGTCATTCCTTTACCGCAAATCATTTTCTCAATCTGGTTTTACTTGACCGACGAAAGAAAATTCATTTGAATTCTTTCGTAAATGAAATATAATTTTGAACCGAACCCTTTGCACTCGAAGCTGTGTTAACCGTGAATCTAGAATAATTTTTCTGACTTATACTATTTTCATTTTATACGACAAAGTGCATTTTATGCATATGAAATTGTGCCTTATGTTATATATTAACTTTGTTAATATAAAAATTATCTTAGAATGTGATGTAACAAATTTTAGTGGTGCCTCAGAGTCACCGCTCGAGTGCCAAGGATTAATAAAGTTGATACAGGTGAAAACTATACTTTGTTAATTAATTATGTCAGTGACATACACGGACATGACCGCTAAGCGGTTAAATAGTGTCATGTCTACAGGCTGTAACATGTGCTTAAACCATTTAAACTGAAATGACTAACGTGTCACCGAAAACAAATTACGACATTGTATGCAACACGAGCTTGCAAAATGTAGTACAGCTAAAGACAATGTTAAATTTTGTGCGTACGGTGAATATTTTTTGTCAATGTGAGAAGGAAAAATTTGCCAAATTTAGGAATAGTATTTTCAATTTTTCAGTTTAACTTCATAATGGTATGAAGCTTCTTTTCTGAGAAAGATTGTATGTTATATATATAAGATTATATGAATATTATTATATATATCAGAGATGCCACTGGATGCGTGTACCTGCAAATTCGACCATCTTAAAAATGAGTACAAAACTGATTTTAACGGATCATACAAATTATTTCATACTTCGACAGGGAAAAGGCTTCTTATCATATAAAATACCTTCATTGGCATAACTGGTGATTAGCTGCAGCTTGCAGAATGACACAGTTTCACAGTCTAAGAATAAGTTAATGTTGCGAACTGGTGTTATCGCGAATCGAAAGAGAAGCAGTGAAAGCAATAATTGAAGGAAGCATCGTTGACGAACCGTTAAACGGAACGTCAAGGCTCAGTTATGGCTCAAATCGACGAACCTAACTGCGTTCAGTCGGAAATTCCATTAGCCGACGATCCTGAAATAGGCGAAGAAGCGTTAAAATTTGACGACACGATATGACTCGATGTTTTACCGAATTTTCCTCGATTCACAGAGAGAATTTGTGAGGTCGCATGGAAGGTGGGGCGCAACCAGAAGTGCGCTTCATATCCTATTCCCTTTTCCCTTCCTTTGATCCCATGCGCAGAGTAACGCAATAGTATCGCAGTTATGTAGACGAGGAAAATGACCCGTCGCCTAAGATAAAGCGACGGGATGGACATTCGCGTGTCGGCGCAAAACGAAAATTTCGTTCTCGCCCTTCAATCGCATTTGGATTTCACGACTCACTGGTTCGTCAAAAAGTTACGATTCCATGATATTGACTTATGTATGTCGTCATTGTACAAATGGTGGAGAAGTATCACAATTTAAGCAGCTCTACCGGTCCAACAGAATTCAAGTATAATCTCATGCGTTACCATTTTCTGGACGTACAGATTTGATATATTATTTACACGTTATTGATATTCTAAGTATCAGAATGACTCAGGTTTCTGACCATTTTGTATGATCAAAATATTTAACCGAACTCCGAAAATATGGATTGAAAAATGGTTGTATTCAAATTGACTAGAGTTAAAATAATACTTGATTTTTCACTCTAAAACATTTCATTCAAAGAACCAGACAAATAAGTTTCAAAGAACCAGAGTCCAGAGAGAGAACCAGAGTGTTATAGATTATTAGATTGGTTCGATGCCAATTTTAAAGAAATAAAGATAAAACTACACGTTTCCATTTAAACAAACACTGACGATTTTAAAATCTCAAAAAAAACGTAAGTTCGGGATAACTTTTCGATTCCCATACTATTTGTTTGTTTCATCACTGTTATAAAAAGTAAATAAAATGTTCCAGACGATCAAGTTACGTCGTTCATACTGCGTGTTCGAAAAATATGACAAAAGATATAACGATATTCAACAAAAGTATTTTCAAGTAATAAACTTTGCATTGTCTATCAATAAGTAAAAGTTGAGTGGTTAAAAATTGTCCTATAATTAATATAAAATATAATTTATACCAATATAGATATTACGACACAATGAATAAAAGAGTTATCGATTGAAATAAGAAGAAAATGAAAAATCTTCGAAATCTGATGGCTATATCGATTAACAAGTTAAATCGTCATCCTCCGCAAAATATTACACAGCTGTCTATCGTATAAGGAATGAAATTTACTATTATAAAAGCGCCGTCGATTATGAAAAAGTAATAATTACGTAATGTGTCTTTCGCCGTTGACATACAGTGCTCACGAAATCACTTTCCGTGAGTTATGGTAACAATTCCTCATGGTTTGATTTGCACGCGCTCAATATCCGGTCGTCCGGCAGCCGCAATTTACGAGGGCAGGATGTTAGCGCAACTTAGGTGTCTTTGCAACCGTTCCCTATCTATCGCGGTGCGCGGAAACTCATCGATTCTTTTGATTTACCGTTCGCCGATGGCTTAGCTCGCTAAACTTTTCCAAACTCCGTTCGCCGTGCGCGCGTTGATTAATAGGAAGACGCGAGCTCGCGGCCGGAGAACGCGCTAGCAAAAAGCTTCCGATACGAGCCGATTCGAAGCGGATTCCGCGCGGATTTCGAGCGGATTCCTAGCGGGTTCCGGTCGACGGACAGGAGTTATTTGCGACGGCAAAAACGCTCGAGCATCGGACGTATCGGGAACGGAACGAAGAGCGGAGGAGTTGCGATTAAAAGCGGAAGAACGACGACGAGAGGCTCGCACAGTCGATAAGTCGAACAGTCGACCATTAGACGAGCACTCGAGCTCGCAACGGACCCGTGACAAGCGTTTACGCCGCGGGCATGAAGCGGAAACTAGCAAGCGGATGCGACTTTCGGAGCACTCGTCGCCGTGCGCTCGGAAAATCATGCGAACTCTGAGTGCGAGAATTTGAATCTCTGGATCTCCTGCTGTCCGATTCTCGGCCGACGATCGTTCGTTAACGTAATTCAATAAAGCGGATAATAGCGAAATGAACGGATGAATGTGTGCGCGGAAGCGCGCCGCGCCGCGCTGCGTCCTAATTCTCCGACGAAGCAATTCACCGGCCGCGGGTTCGCGAAAGAAAGAGCAACGGTTATACCGGTTTTTTGTCTCCTATTTTACGTTTTCTTTTTTCTTCATTGTTTCCAGAGTTTCTGTTGCGCCCGTTCGCCGTTAGCTTTATAGCAAATGGAGCGGTATTAACTTTTCAACAGTCTCCGGGACTCGAAAAAGTATGACTTTCAGGATTTAAGGTGGCTCCGGGAGAGAGAACCGAAAACGCTGGATGCGGGTTTCACCGAGAAGTGTCCGCCGTGTTCCCTGAAGCTCGGGAAAAAATGTGGACGAGCCTCTATTCCACGCGAGATTTTGTAATTTAGTGTGACTCGCGAATTCGTTCGCCTATTCTCTGCGATCTTTTTTCTGGCAGCGCGGTCAGAATTTGTACCTTGAAATTGTGGAACTTTCCGGTATTTTAATGGAAACGTAATTCCTTTAATAGCAAATCCCTTGTAGAAAATACTGCGATAAATATTTTATGTGATAATGATAATAGTGTGGTTCAGGATTTTAGTGTCTATTTATTTGTATAAATAGTTATTAGAGTTCATAATTAGACTGCGAGACCTCGTGTGGAATAAAAACTTCTTCCTTTCTTGGATAAATGTAATATATTCGTAAACAAACGAAACATAAAGTATAGGCACCAGAAAAATTGCGGAATATTTTTAATTATTCTGTATTTTCCTGTTACTTACGTTTAATGCAGAAGATTTAATTTTTCTATAATTGTGGTCTACGCTCTGCGACAAAATAATCCGCCACATGGATATTATGTTTTTTTTTTTATTTTTAAAAGATAACGTACTGTATTGATTTTCTCTGGGTTTCTTTGGTTTCTTCTATTGTATTTGTACACTTTTATTGCTGGAACAAAAGATTTGATTGTACATTATGCATATCAAACGAGTTAACGGGGAATCAAACAGGTAGTTCTTTTTTAAAATAACGTTAAAATTGACATATCTACCAAAGAATGTGTTATTTCAATATTTCGTAGCTTCATCTTTTTTGCTCCATATTATCCAATGTCGTTCGTTGGAATTATTTAATTCCTGAACTGTTGATTTTGCTAAATGAGCATAGGAATTCTTGATCAGCTTGACACAGTAGTTAGCAATCACGTACAATTTCTTACCTTTACTTAAAGCCAGTATATAAACACGAAGTATTTACCCTGGACGTGTGCCAACTATTGCAAAGATGAAACCTGCTACATCATACGAAAACTATTGTTACCACTTAACCGGATTATGGTCGCTGTGACGGCTTCGCGCTGCTTTAAACAAATCATCGTTGATATATGTATGTTAATGCCATATACTTAAAATATCCATGTAATCTTTACAATGTTCTAACGTAAATTTACAATGTTTTAACGTAAATTTACAATGTTTTAATGTAAATTTACTTGCACTCAATAATTTGGAAGTATCTAATATTTACTGAGATGATAACTGTCAGTACAGTAAATTCTCTCTAATTGAATCTCAGCTTGAACACAAAATAGACAATTTGAGCAGAGTTCATTGCGCGGTACAGTAATTTCTCCCTAATTCGCGCTCAGATTGCGCACAAGAATGGACAATTTGGGAATAGGAGGTACGATTATTCGAGTCTCGCGGCTTGGTTTCAACGGCGATTGTCAACAACTATAAAAACGAGCCACAAGGTTGACATAATCGTATCTCCTTTTCACAAAGTGTCCATTTTTGTTTCCAAGCTCAGCGTTGATTAGAGAAAATTTATTGTAATTGTCAGTCCGATTAAGGGTTAATCAGCAATACTTGTGAAAATCAACAAAATTGCACAGTGTGCTTTGTCGTCAAGTGTACTAATAAAAAATATTTGTCTTCTCGGTACGCGTATATATGTATTCCGTGAACAGGGTAGAAAATCACCTTTAATTGAACCAGTGGAGGAACGATACTTTGATATTGTCCCCAGCGGGATAACGGTATTTTTCCGCGAGCATTCCACTCGGTCTTGAAACCCTTCAAGGAACTCATTGACGAGTTTGCTGCACGGTGGATTTGTTGTTACTTGAGGCATGGTCAGAGAACGATCGAAATTCTTTTGTAGGTGGCTGGGAGAAAGAAGTGCCGTGATCAAAGCAGTGTTTGAAATGAGACTTTTACAAAAGAATAATGACTTCATTGTGCGGCGTCCACCAGAACACAGTTCTTAAATGATAATTACGAGTCGGGGATTCGGTCTCACCTCGATTTTAACTCTTATCGGACGTACATTGCGTTCCACGTGACATTATGTCAATAGTTATGTCATTTAGTCGTTTAGTCAGTTTTTTAAAAAAGATACTGCGTTTCGATGACGTCTCGGATGACGTTTCACTGGTTTCCTAAAATATTTAAGTTAGTATTAATATGAAAAGTATATATTTTTCATAAAAATCGATATAATCTTACAAAAATTATATTATGATTGGTCTTATTTTAATCAGAAAAAGCTCACGATTGCATTGGGAAAAGTCCCATTAACACGTTCCGTGCCACGTGTACCATCGAGGGTACACGCTTGCATGTTTACTTAGTGAACTGAACAAATTGTTTACAAGAAATTTAGAACCGAAGAATCAATTTCCACCGCAAGAATGGGCGTTGATAAGTTTTTGTTACGTTGTTATGTGTACGAGAATTAATAATAGCACGTAATACATCAAGTTTTAGTAAAATATCAAAGTGTGAAGATTCAAGTAAAAAAAGCTCGGCACGGAACGTGTTAAGAAATAGTAAAAAGTAAAGAATTTACACATTGCATTATTATCTATGCTTCGTTTGCTGTCTTTTTCTACGATCGGAAAAGATAAAGTCGAACTCCGAAATCTCGATCTAAGGCACTTCAGTTCCTAGGTTATCGGTCCTGCCTGGTCCCATGCACGCAGGTCCAAAGTTATGTCAAAGTTACGCCAAAGTTATGTCAAAGGTATGCCAAAGTTATGTCAAAGTTATGTCAGGTTTATGTCAGGGTTATGCAAAAGTTACGCCAAAGATATTTCAAGGTTATGCCAAAGTTGTACCAAAATTATGTCAGGGTTATGCCAAAGTTATGCCAAGGTTATGTCAAGGTTATGCCAAAGAGGGGAAGCTGCGGTAGTATGCTTTGTGAATCTCCGTGGTTCCCCTCTGAATCTTCAGATGTCGGCGCAGCTTCTGGAGGTCACGGTGGAGGTTTCAAAGGGTCGAAACCCAAACTAGGCACTGTACGTCCCCCCCCCCCCCGGGCGGGCCGTATGTGTCTGACAAGCAGATTTCCTGCACGTAAGAAAAAAGAAGAGTTATGTCAGTGTTATGCCAAAGTTATGTCAGGATTATGTTCAACCTATCAAGATGAAATTTTTATTTTTGTAGTTTATGCACTCTCCGTATCGAAATGATTGTCTGATTTATAAATTTGCAACAAAATAACACGCGCCGTTGAATTATATGAAATAAAAGTTAAATAAATGCTTATTATAGTCGTGTAGCTGTATAATACTTAGTAAATTATGCTTACGCCTTGAAATTAATGATAGAGCAAGTGTAAAACATTATTCTTTAAAATGGATCGCCTTGAACAGTACAGTTATACTTTTTGAAAAATGTGTTAACGCTACGAAGAGTGAAAGTCGAAAGGAATCAGAAAATTCCCTTTCGACCCCATTTGTTCGTCAAACAATACCAACCAGTTTCTTTGAAAAACCATTACTTTCTTCAGAATTTAACATTTTATTGAATTATGACCCACAGATGTTCACCAAAAGTCGAACCATCATCTAGCCTTCATAGATTCCTTTTTTTTGCATGCTTTGTCAAGTTGAAATGCTTTCCCGTTTATTGCCTGCAACGTTATAACGAAAGATTGCGTACTTTGTCCGCATCGTACCAATTCCGTAGTTCGGTCTTGCTTTGTTTTGGTTACGGGCGAAGCAAGCCAGGCCCGAGCCTGCCTGCAAGTGTGAACACGTTTGGAAGGTGCCGGGCGGCCTGGCACCCGTAGTGTGAACACTCCAATGTAAATCAAATGTAAGAATGATTCGGCCTTGGTCAGCCTTGGAGTACGGCCGGAGCCTGGCACGTTCACGTGAATCAATCCTAAACGTGCATCGACCCTTAACACTTAGCCGACCGCGCGCGCCACAGAGACCTGTACGGTTTCCACCGCGCTCGGGAAAGCCAAACTGCGCTATCCACCGCGCATTTTTCTGAGGTAGCACGGACTGAAATTCGCTACTTGAAATCAAAAACGTCCGAAAATTATTTATGCGATCAATTGTATCTTACGGTAACAATTTCGTTCAACGATTTCACATATTGCTTATACAAAATTCGAATTTAAAAGTTTATAATAATTATTTTTCAATGGTTATTCAAAAAGTATAGTTAATAGAGTCAGAAAATTAAGGACAGTAAAGATGACGGATAAATAACGTAACTCAAATATGGAACAAAAAAGCAGTAATATATCGTGATGTTCAGGCATTGTGTTGATGCATGCAGTTCGACCATATGCTTCAGTTCAACTCTAATATCATCTTCTGTCCAATCATCGACGCCATTGACAATAACATTTGATTCCGAGTCATCGGCGGAATCATCTTCCGATTCACTCGAAAGGATTCGTCGATTAGTCCGATATATGGGAACGATGGTGCTATTATTGTCGTCAACTTCACAATCACTTATCAGTAGATCAATGTCTTCAGAACAGTCTGATAGTATGTCCATAAACAACTCATCACTTGAATTGTCACTCATGTTCCTGGACATTTTTAGGGATATTTTTTCTATACTTCGTTTCACACCACTTGTTGAGAGTCACAGCAAGGAGCTTAGCTTCTACACTAATATTTCCAAGTTGAGCCGAGTCTTATATATTCGAAAAAGTTGTGAGAGTCGTGAGAGGTAGCATTTCGATTTCTAATGGGTGTGGTGTTGGTGTGCTGGTGAGCATTTTATTATATGTTGTACTCTATAGAAATAAGAAGCTCTATAGAGAAAGAAGCGTTTCTCAGGTCAAAATGGTAGATCTACCCGATCGGTCGGCTACCGACTAGCTTGGAAATGGGTAGATCTACCCGAGCGGTCGGCCACCGACTAGTTTGGAAATGGGTAGATTCGGGTAAGTGTTAATATAGGTCGGCTAAGTGTTAATTTCATCTGGTAGTCTCGCGAAAGAACTGTACGCAGTTTCTACCTTTTCGACTGTTTCTGCGGGGTCGAGGTTTGTTGCATAGGCAGCTGACTGTTGTATTTGTTTCTGAAAATTACAGCAGAGTGGACTCAGCCTGCGAAAGCGACGTCGTGTTACGAGTAACGCAACAACGCGGTCGGATAATTTGTATTTATGTCAAAAGACACGAACGTCGTTATCGGGCCGTACAGTTGGAAGCTGCGGTCAGGAAACTCGAGTGCCGCGACCAATCGGCAACCCGTTGCGGAATCCACTGTCGGATACAACGAGGAGTAGTCCAATTACTAGCCGAGAGAATTCATCTGAAAATGATGTAACGGGAACTGCGCTAACAAATTCGAGCTGTATGAAATTTTGGGATTGATGATGGAGTGAACCGAAATATATATAGTTGTCTCTACCGAAACCTCGGAAGGATCACTCGCCAAGAAGATTGGAGATCTGAAAATTCGGAATATTATTCGACGTTCAAATTAATTCGCTCTTTCCTCATCTTCGTCATTTTTTGCATCTTATTGGTAACTAATGAATTGCTTTTGAAAATTCACGTTTCTAATGCCACGAAATTGTTAATGCATTATTCTTAAGCTTTCGTAATTTTTTTGGGGATGCATCGACTAGACCAGAGCTTGTTCAACAGGGATTACCTTTAACGCTAGATTTACGGAACCTGTCAAAATGACGGGTCGCTAATTTTTTAATTTACGATTATTCATATCGTAAAGATACATTTATGAGTTATTTATTAAATTTATATATTAGTTACGGCAAATGTTACAATGAAACTTGTTAAAAATCAGTATAAATGTCTTATTGTTGCTTTTATAAACTAATATAAAACAGCTGTTTTTTATGCTCCGTAAATCTAGTGTGAAACTGCCGGCAATCATTTCACCGACAATGTTTACATCGACACAATATCACCGACACCGGGTTTCGTCGACATTGTTTACATATCGACACGTTGAAATCAACGACAAATGTTTACATCGGCACTCATTTCGTCGACAAATGTTGTTATCGACATTTATTTCATTGACAACG